TCTCTCCCTCCCTCCCTCCATCTCCCTCCCTCTCTCTGTCCATGGCTGGCTCAAAGCCATATAAAAATGCCAATTCTGCATACCACCCAGGTGTGGGACTGGAGATCCAGATGATATATAGCAACTGAGGAATTAGTGGGAGCTAGATCAGCCTTAAAATATTTTGTATTATGGGAAATCATTGGAATTGTGGTGTTATTGTTCTGTGGATTTACTTTGTGTACTTCTAGCTAAAAGAGCAGTCACTGGGATTAACCCTACAGACATCAATTATTATTGCTTTCAATTCTTGTTCTTTTTTGGCTTCATCTCTTGTTTAGTTCCTGTGACCTTATGGGTATAGGTTCTAGAGGACTTCCTTAAGTAACTCACAGCCCTGTGTATATTTCTGCACAAGCTTACTCCCTTATACTCAACAAGTAGCTATGCTACTAATTAGCTGTGATTTCATATTTGTTTTTAATCATGTGAAATGGATATTTTTACCACCAGCATTTTGTAGATAATTGCAATAAATATAAAAGAACGTAAGCTTATAATATTGAATACAGAAGAGCAAAACAATTACAAGCAGAGCTTACAACAATAATAAAAATCATTTATGCTAAAAATCAAGACAGCCAGTTTGGTGTAGTAGTTAAGGTGCTGGTTTAGAAACCAGGCCAGGAGACTGGGAGTTCTAGTCCTGCCTTAGTCATGAATGCCAGCTGGATGACCTTTGGCTGATCATTCTCTCTCTCAACCTAACCCATCTCACAGAATTGTGGGGAAATTAGGAAGGAATATTATGGATGGTCAGTGCCTTGTGTTAATTAAAAATGATAAATTGCTTTATAAAAACATTTAAATCTAAATGTCCAATCGTGTTGAAAATTCCAATAAATTACTTATAAGGCAACCTATATAGACTTATTTAAAAGTAATCTCATTGAATTTGCTGTAATTTACTCCCAAGGAAGTTGGGCTTGTGTTTTAAGATTTTAAAATTGAACATGTAAATGTCAAGCCACAATACTGATCCTAGTTGGCCTCCTGAGGATTTTTTCTTCTTGTGCCATATCAGTCATCATAGGTTGGCGATCATGTTGGCGATCCTATTTTTATCAACAGCCACACGAAAAAGTGCTGCTGAGTTTTCTCCAAACCAGTCCCTTAGATTTTGAAGCCATGATGTTCTTTTTCTGCCTGGACCACATTTCCCTGGATGATTAAATGAAATATGCCATATTTTTCCAGGTGTTGCATCACATGTCCAAAATAATCTAATTTTCACTTTTTAATGATTTTGATGATTTCCCTTGGCTTTCCCAGCTGGCAATAACAATCCCTAATTGGCTGGAGAGTGAGTCATGGCAAGTAGACTTCTTTTTTCTTGCTGGTTCAAAATGTTTCATTGCTTATTTAAGTAGCTTCTTCAACTACTTCTACATGGATAAGCAGCAAAATGTTTGAGCCATCAAGAAAGAAAAAAAGTCCAGTTGCCATGGCTCAGCTTCCAGACAACCCTACCTGGATGACTGAGAATTTTCATCAACCCACAATTGGGGTGTTACTTTTGAAAAAGCCTTCCCAGTAAGGGTCAACCACTGCACTTTGTAGGGCAAAGACATCTAGACATCTAAGGGCTTGAAAAGATTATCAGAAAAGTTCTAGTTTGAAGGATAATCTACTCCCATTCATTTGGGATCTTTAGTGTTAACCAACGCTTTGAACAGATTTGGAAAAAGATGGAAAGTTCTTACAGATGACAAAGCAGTGGAATCCCATTATTTTAGAAGTCAGACCAAGTTATTTATTGCTACATATGTACTTCACTGCAATAATGGGGCAATTATTGTTAAATCATTTGTAGTATGGAAAGTATGTATAGCAGCTGGTATATCAGTATAATCTAAGAGGTGCTCTTATATCTCTAATGACAGTGCTGGATAAAACAATATCCTCAAATTGCAAAGCATTCTGCCCTAAAACAAGGCTAAATACCACTTGACTCTATTGTCAGAAATAATCGTACCTATTTATTTCCTTGATTATTTTGACTAAATATGTTTCTCCACTTAGGCCTCTCTAAATAGATGATAATTGGGGAACACTTGGTATTGTGAAAAGGCCACAGATCTAATGCATTGGGTTCCATTCTTCTCATTCTTAAATGTAAAATAAAATAGAATAGAATAGAATAG